TCCCCGATACGTCCTTGAACTGTCCCGGTCCTAGGCCTGAATTACAATCCACTTCATTATGATAACAAATAAGTGCATAAAGGGTCCTAAAGCAAAGTGGTGTCATTGAACAATACTGCCAGGAAAGACAACAGCGCCTAAAACTCCTCCACAATCATCCGAAACAGCCATGCAGCATGGCCCCGATTTTTCTTCTCCCCCTTTTTTGTGATCTCCCAACCCAGGAGAGCTTAATTCTCTGACAACTACCCCCTACTAAGAAAAACATTTACTGTTTTTCAATTAATAAATGGTTAAGGTTACAAACACGGTAATAGTCCTTTTACAACTCTATATAAAACGTCAACATGTTCATCTACACAACCAACACATTAATTAGTCTGACGACAACCTCTTAACTGTGTAACACTTAAAAAAAATAATCTTAACCAATAACAGTGAACAGCTTAACTACTTAACTACTTTAGTTTAACATGAACTCTTACTCTATAATGAACTTAATAACTACAATGGAACTCGTGAAACAACTTGACCACCTCTTCACTTACAAATGTGAAACTCTATATAACATCTAGCACAAACATCATATTTAACACAACCTACTGAGGTAATCTGCACCCACATTATCTGATCCCTTAATGGCTTCAACTCTGAACCTATAACTCTGCAAATAAAGTGCCCATCTCATCAATCGACCATTTTCTGTCTTTGACTTCTGGAGGTAGGTTAACGGTTCATGATCAGTTTGCACTGTGAACTCCTTCCCATACAAGTAATTTTGGAATTTTTTCACACCAAACACTACAGCAAGACACTCTCGTTCTATCACAGAGTAATTTTTTTCTCTTGGCAACAACTTTTTACTGGCATAAGCAACAGGGAATAACTCGTCATCATACTTCTGCAATAGCACAGCCCCTACCCCTACATCCGATGCATCTGTTCGGAGTATGAAAGAGCGACTGAAGTCTGGCATTCGCAGTATTGGGGCAGAAATTAACAATTTCCTAAGTGTTTGAAAGGCACATTCTTGTGGCTCTTCCCATCGTACGACAGTTGGTTCCCCCTTCTTGGTCAAATCGGTCAGTGGGGCCGATAATTCACTGAAATTGGGAATGAACTTCCTGTAATATCCTGCCAGTCCTATAAACGACCTAACTTGTTTCTTCGTCTGTGGTCGTGGTGCATTCCTTAATCTGTCTACCTTTTCAGTTTCCATGGCAACCTTGCCCTCACCAATTTGATGACCAACAAAATTCACAGTCTGGTATCCTAGCCAACACTTGCTAGGTCTAATTGTGAGCCCTGCATCACGCACACGCTGAAATAACTCTCTCAGAGTCTTTAAATGTTCTGCCCACGTAGTTGTGTGACACAGCACGTCATCCACATAGTGATCAAGGTTCTGGGCACCATTTAGCAGCTTTCTCATCATTTTGTTGAAAGTGGCACCTGAATTCACCATACCAAATGGCATCCTTTTAAACTGATAACTTCCTTCTGAGGTTGAAAATGATGTCAATGGTTTACTTTCTTCGCTCATCGGAATCTGCCAGTACCCCTTGCTTAGGTCAACTTTACTATAGTACACATCATCGCTCAATCGTGCTATGATATCTTCTGCGTTGCCCATTGGTTCTGTGTCAAAGCAAGTCACTGCATTGAGTCGACGGAAGTCAACACAAAACCTGGATGATCCATCCTTCTTGCGCACTATCACTATGGGTGAGTTATATGGGGAATTAGACGGTTCTATTATATCATTGTCCAACATTGTTTTCACTTCATCATGCACAATTGTTCTGGTTGCATATGGCAGACTGTACTGTTTCACTCGAATGGGTTCCTTCGATACTAGTGTCACACTGTGTTCTTCTAGACTCGTACTTCCAGGCTTCTCTGTGAATATGCTTTGGTATTCCTCAACTAACTTCCTCAAATCCGACTTCTTGTCCTCGGAAAGTTCTTCATTGATCTTAACATCATGGTAACTTTCAGGTTTGCTCTGCCATTCTAATTCAAGCAAATTTTCATCGTCAATTACCCCTTCATCATGTAGGTCTGGTTCGATTACTGCCATATTCACTTGTTCCATTTCTTGGATAGGGGTGTCTCGTTCCAAGTATTTCTTCAGGAGGTTTACATGGTACGTCTTCATTTTACCATTAACAGAGACACGGCAATCCCATTTGTTAACAACTTCAGCAACTTCGAATGGACCCTTCCACTGTAATGTCAACTTGTTATGGTCCGTGGGTAGGAGTAGCAACACCTTTTCGCCTTTTTTAAAGGTGCGATCTCTTGCCTTCTTATCATAGTGATGCTTGCTAATGCCTTGCGCTGCACGCAAACTTTCACGAGCTAGCTTGCACGTGTCTTCCAATCGGTTTCTCAGGTCTATTATGTACTGGTATGTGTTCTGTACTTCTGGCGTCGTACTTTCTGTCCACAACTCCTTCAAAATTTCCATTGGCCCCCTCACGGTTCTCCCATACAACAATTCAAAAGGCGAGAATCCTAGACTGGCTTGAGGCACTTCTCTGTATGCAAACAAAACTGCTGGTAAATATCTGTCCCAGTCCTTGGGTCTCTCTTGGCACATTTTCTTTATCATGCTCTTGAGTACACCGTTCATCCGCTCACAAAGGCCATTACACTTGGGATTGTATGGCGTCGTAAACAACTGTTTCATAGAGATCAATCTGGATACTTCTTTCATAAGGTCTGACGTAAACTGTGTCCCGCAATCACTCAGCACTTCTTTTGGGAATCCTATACGACAGAATACTTCCAGTAAGGCTTCAGCCACGCGCTCTGTCTCAATTCTCGGTAAGGCTATGGCTTCAGGGTAACGTGTCGCATAGTCAACTACAGTCAAAATGTAGCGGTTTCCACGCTCGGTCACTGGAGCAATTGGGCCAATCAGATCAACAGCTATGCGATGGAACGGGACATCAATTAATGGCATTTCTCCCATGGGAACTTTGGTAACCTTTCCCCTTGGGGTTGTTCGTTGGCACACATCACATGACTTGCAATAACGACTAATGTCACTTATGTGACCTGGCCAATAAAAGGCACTGGTTATTCTGTCACTGGTTTTCTTGACTCCTAAGTGACCCCCTACTATGCTTTCATGGGCTAATTTCATAACTTCTTCCCTATATGGCTTTGGCACTACTACTTGCAAGACTTCCTTATCACTATTCTTGTAACACTTATATAATATATCATTTTTCACAACAAAACCATAGGAACCTTGTCCCTTGGTCTGCTTCAATTCACCACTACTTGCTAATTGGTAACATTTCTCAAGTGAACTATCAGCTTTCTGTGCTGCTATTAACTCATTCGAGTTCACCTCTTGAATGCCTGGTAATGCCACCTTAAGCGGTCTTATATCTAACTTTTCCTTCTTAGCTTGTGCTCTTGTTGTCACAGCTCCTATCTCCACCTCTTGTCTCCACTCTGGATCTGGTATATTGCTAACACCTGGTATATTACCTAACACTACATCGTAAACTGGTTTTTCCATAACCATTGCCTCCACTAGGCCCACATAATATGGTGTATCAATGTGCACATTTGCTACAGGAAACTGACGGACAGTCCCATCTATAAGTACACATGAATGCTCTCCACCAGTAAAATGACCCTTCTCAACTAATGACGCTCTCACCGCTACTCCACTACAGCCTGTATCCCTTAAGACGCTAACCCTCTTCTTTCCAACAAAGCCACTGATAACAGGCATATTTTTACTTGTAACTGAGTTGCTACAACCACTGGCCACTGACTTTTTGGTACTTTGAGGACAGTTCTTAGCAATGTGTCCATGCTTGTGACACAAAAAACACTTGTCACTCATAGGGCATTCTTTAGCAAAATGTCCTCTTCTGAAACATAAGCGACATTGATCCTTTTCTACGGTCTTCATGTCCGACTTCCCTGGTTCTGACTGCTTACTACTATTCACAACAACGGCCTTGTTTGGGTGTCTAAAATTATTCTTCCCCTTGACTGGGGCCCCACTGTGTGCCTCAAGGTATTGCTCTGCTAACCTGGTCATCTCATCAACAGTCCTTGGCTTCCTTTCTTTTAAGAACACTGACAGTTCATTGGAGCATGTCGACATGAATTGCTCTCGTATGATGAGGTCATCGAGGCTTTCTACTGTATCTTCAACTTCTGAGAGTTCTTTCCATCTTTGATAATATCTCTTCATCCTAGCAACAAATTGAAACACCGTTTCCCCACTGTCAGGTTTACAATTTCTGAACTTAACCCGAAACCCTTCTTCGGTCAGCATATATCTCTTCAACAAGGCTACTTTAAAGTTGTCATAGTTATTAGCTTCCTGGGCTGGCATGCTAGAATACGCCTGCAGACCTTTACCGGTTAACAATGGGCTTAGACTCACTGACCAACTCTCTCTTGGCCACTGCTGACTAGAAGCAAAGCGTTCAAAACGATCTAAAAATGCGTCCATATCGTCTTTATTTTCATCGAACGCAGGTAACTTTGGGCGTGGTGCTTTAACCTTTGTTTCACCTGATGTACTTGCACTGAATTTGGTTTTCTGTTCGCCCAATTGTACCTGTAGTTTCATTTTTTCTATCTCCATATGCTCCTTCTCTAATGCCCGTTGCTGTTCTTCTCGCTGAAACTTTCTGTCAAGTTCTTGCTTTTCCATTTCTAATTCATGGTTTAATCTTAACACTTCTAATTCCTGTCTCTTTCTTTCATCCTCACGTACACGTGCTCTCTCTTCACGCTCTAGGTACTGTTGTTCACATTTTGCTACATACTCTCTCAACTGTTCAGCTTCATACCCTAACTTTTGACCATCACTGATGTATTTACTCGTATCCATGCTGTAGGATGTTTTCTAGCTGTCTATAAGAAAAACGAATATCTACTCAACTAAAGAGTGCTACACACTACTCTACGTACAACAGTGCTTTACTAAATCACTTAAGTACACTTAGCACTCTACAGTTCTATGTTACCACACTGTATCACTACAGCAGACTACCACCTACATGTACTGTTACTACACTTCACTTAATTACACTCCTGTAATTTAACACTGTTGAATATATCCACGCACTGTACT